AAATAAAGTATATACAAAAACGAAAATAAAAAATGTATATATATTTATAAAAAAACCGAAAATAAATAAAGCATACAAAAAACGAAAAATAAAGTTAAAACATCATGTGGTGTAATCTTTTTCAAACCTCAGGGACCAAATTTGAACTTTTGGGACTGATTTTGCAAAAGAAATTAACCAAGTTAACTATGAAACTCGTTAAATGGGCTAGAGTGATAATTCTGCGAGAAAGTTGTGGCCATAGCAATAATAAACAAAAATATTAGGGCTTTTTCCAAGTACGGGTTAAAAATTTAGGACTTTTATAATATTAGTCCAAAATAATATTTATAATAGTTATTTTTTTTTTCAAAAATACACCAAAAATTATTAAATTACTCAATTTCCTTATAAAGTAATGGTTGTTTAACCAATGAAATCATGAAAGTTTCTTTCTAACAAACAAAAAATGACTAGAAACAAAAAGAATACAATTTAGTCACAAATATCTTTGTACAAAGAGTGCATCATTCCTCATCGCCTTTGTTTGACTTGACATGGGTCTTAGAATATGGATTTTGACCATGTTTTTATAAATAAGTCGATTTTCTTTTAACACGAAAGTTTTATTAAAACACTAATAAATAGCTAGAAAAATTGCAAAAAATCAATAGACATATATAAGTTGTTTAAGCAATCAACTCACTGAAGTTCCTTTCTACCAAAATGACTACAAACAAAAAGAATACAATTAAGTCACAATGTCTTTATACAAAGATAACATCTTTCCTCGTCTCCTTTATTTGATAGGGAGTGGTTATAAAATCTGTAAACTACCTATTAAAATTGAATCAGTTTAGGTTAATGTTCTCTAACATGCCAAAAGTGTAAGATTAACAATATATTTAGTTGAAAGGATAATTGGCCAAAGGAATTTAGGTCATATAAAATGTATCTACATGACTAAATGTATATAGTCTCTTAAACTATTTATTTCGTGCCGATATGAGTTTTATAATACTTTCCATCATATAAAATATTCGTAAAATTCAAAAAAGCAAATGAGAAAACATTTAAATTCAATCTAACTCAACTCATTAGCTAGCAATATGATTCACCTATTTTTATCAATTTAACTTTTTCTTTGGTAAAGGTTAAAACATTTCAATTTTTTAATATAGGATAATGATCATTATAAATAAATATACTAATCTATATTAAATTATTTTAAATATACATAAAGTTAGCTTTTATGACAACACACGTAAAATATGTTGGGTTTTTTTGACCACAAAGATGAATATTTTTTTATGAATTCGTGTGTTAATCACTTAATTGAGACTTTAAAAAGGCTTTAGGCCTTTAGCTATGAAAGTGGTTGCCACGA